CTGTGCTAACCCCCCAATTCCTGACTGCTCTTGTACAAAAATTGACAGGTTACAGTATACTAAATACCTGGGTATCATGATTGACCAACGCCTGTTCTGGCATATGCATACTGAGCTGATCATGAATAGGATTAGGAAATTAATATGGCCTTTTAAAACATTGCGACACATTGCCTCAAAGAACCTTTTGCAGAAAGTCTACGTATCATTAGCCCAATCTATCCTTACATACTGTCTGCCATGCTGGGGCGGAACAACAAAAATTAAATTTTTAGAACTTGAGACGGCGCAGCTATCTCTGCTTAAAGTTATGCTTTTTAAACCCTATAGATTTTCTACCCAAAGCCTTTACCTAACCTCTAACTTAATGTCTGTAAGAAAACTCTACCTTTTTTTTATCGTGGGAAATCTTCATGGATACCTTCTGTTGCGGGGGCAACGGAAAGGTTATGCCGGACTCCTACCGGCCAAAACCCCACGGTGGTCTCCATCAGCGTATATGAGGGGTCCCGGGATCTCCGTTCGGAACGCAACCGGGGCCCCTCTCACGCTTTGCTCTATTAAAGCACGTCCCGGGGGCAGTCCTTACTACCCCCAGCACTCGCAATGCTATCACGGTGCTCAAGACCACTTTCAAGTCACCGTGCCCGTAACCCCCGAGGCCCCGTTTCTGGTCCCCTACCAGAAACGGGGCCTTCATCACCACCATCAAGGGGAGGGCCCTGACGAACGCTTTGGCGGCGTCGTCTTCGAGCGGGATCTGTCCTCTCCCGACACCGCTCAGCAGCCTCCTTCTGGATCATAACGGATTCACAGAAGGTGGCTACGGCCCTCCACGCGGAGTCCTTGCTCAACATCGCCGACACGACTGCCGGCAGGGAGAGGTTCTGACCGATCCGGCTTACCAGGACCGTCCGCTCCCGTTCCCACGCTGGGCATGTTGCCAGCGTATGGGATGCGGAGTCCTGTACCTGCCCATCGCAGTGGAAACAGTTCGCCGTCGCTTCCCGTCCAATCTTACACAAATAATCACCGAAGCACCAAGAAAACTTTACCTACTCCACCTTATTCTGAGTAAACATAAATCCCTCCCATATGACCCCATAAAGCCGATTATGAGTAGCAGAAGAAGCTACTTGGTCGCTCCAACTTTCCCAGTTAGATTTGTTTTTGCCAAGCGGCAGTATGCAAGGCAATCTTCCCACTTATACAACCTATTGAATAAAGAGCTAAACATCTATCCTCTAAAACTCCGTGACTGTAAACTAGCTGTGAATTATTGGCTTAAGACTAAAACCTACGATGACATTAAGGCTATGGTATCATCTTTACCATAATCTGTCTAGTAACCAACAGGGCAGCAGCAACGAAATCGTTAGTGGAGGAAGCTTTGCCTGGCTTCTTCCGATCCCAAGACATTGTTGTAGGCCTAACCTAAACCTAAACTTAAACCCATAAACACAACGAACGAACGAACGAACAAACACACACACACACACACACACACACACACACACACAAACACGTGTGCGCCTACACTTAAAACCCCACTCACTTACATCACACAAGTGCGCTCCTTATCTTTTTTGCATTTGTACTTTCTTTTCTTTTATTTTGTTTCCAATTACATACACTGTATAATGTTAAGTGGAAGAGCGGAGTCACCTAACACAAGCATCTCTTTGCTTAAAAGGTGATCTCCAAACCCTGTATCTTAAAGCTTTATGTAATTGAAATAAATATTTTTTTTATTTTATTTAATATGAGTAGGTACCGTCGTGGCAGCGACACGGCATAAGCGGCACGCAATATCAACGACCTTTACGGAGCGAATACTACAAACGAACTCACCACCTGTTATTGATTTGCCCGCTCTCGTTATAGAAATTTTAACCTGAAAAATGAACCCCGTGTCGTCCGAAAACTTTGGTCGACAATGACGAATTAATGGCGATTGTGGAAGCTGATGATACTCAATCTATGGCTGAATTAGCAGCAGCTTTCGAGGTTAGCATCAAAACAATATTGGTCCATTTGCGTCAAATTGGCAAGGTAAAAAAAGGTGACAAATGGATGCCCTACGAACTTAATGATCGCCAGCGCGAAGTACGCGCCGAGACGTGCCTTGCACTGCTCAACAGGCACACAAACAAAGGAATTTTGAACCTTATTATTACACACGACAAAAATGGATTCTGTTCGACAATCGCAAGCGCTCAACAAGTTGGTTGGATCCTGGTTCAGCACCTAAACAATGCCCTAAGCGAAATGTTAGGTTCATCACAGCTTCTTACCAAACGGAATGAGCATTACTGCAGATATGTACTATGAAGAACTGAACACAATGATGAAGAAGCTCGCACGGCTCCAACCAGCTTTGGTCAATCGCTCGTCCCCGCTGCTCCTGCACGCGCGACCTCGTACTGCACAACAGACGGTCTTCAAGTTACAAGAGTAGGGGTTGGAAGCTCTCCGTCATTCGCCGTACTCACCAGACTTTGCGCCTACAGACTTCAACTTTTTCCAGAATTTGGATAACTTTTTGGCGGGAAAAAATTCAATACAAAATTCAATATCTGAAAGGCAGTACAAAATTTCTTTGAAGAATTTGTTGCCTGCCGTCCAGCTGATTTCTTCAAGAAGGGTATCAACAAACTGCCACTGCGTTGGCAAAGATGCATCGACTGTATGGGTGATTACTTTGATTAATAGAAATAAAAAATTAGAAAAAAAAAATAACGTTCACTTATTTCATAAAAAAACGACGATTCCATAGGTACCATCTAATTTAAAGACATTTTATTACTTGAAAACAATAAGTAATTCATATTTATTATTTATTTATTTATTTAAATGTAAATTGTAATGCATATTTATATGTTAGAGATTAATGTCAATGTAAGTGATTTATTAAAATAATAATACGAGTAGCATAACTTATCTCATATAATGTTTAATATTAATGATGTAATAACAATTTATTATATAAGAATTCAATATTTATTTTTATTTAAGTTAATCTGATTATAAATTTAATTGTACATAATATTTGAATTCAACATGAATGTTTATACATATTTTTTAACAACAGGCGAAATAATTTTAAAATATAACATCAGCTTAGTGTAATTAATTGTATTTAATTAAATTTGTCCATACCTATTGTGGCAAAACATGTCGGTCCACATTAAGTAACAGTAAATAACAATAGGAATGTCGACTTTTCATTCTTGACTGTTCCTAAGGATAACGAACGATAAGACATTATTATTTATAGGTAGATCTAGATAATTAGGTACCTAGTTACTGACGCCATTGTTACAGTTTTATTATTTGATCAGCGACCCGATCACAACCTCGTAGTTTTCGATTTTTTCGCGTATAATGCCAGTGACTTTAAAAACATTCAGTGTAAGTAGACCTCCTAGTCCCAGTGACTGCCTACTAATGCAACATCATCATATACTGGATAACTTTAACACTTGGCAGATAAAAGAAAGGATTGAAAATAGCAGCACTTCTCATTGCCACTCTTTCATTAATAATGCCGTCACGTGTCACATGTTTTTGAATAGCAGAAAATGGGAAACAGATAAGTGACGGCTCCGTGGCGCAGTGGCTTTGCAATGAAGCCGGGCCGCGGGTTTTAATCCCGCACGGAACAAGTATTTGTATGGCCTACAAATCATTGTTCTGGGTCTGGATTTGTCCTTGTGAAATCTATGTATGTAAAATGTCCCCGTGATACAGGAGAAAATCCAAAAATAAAAGAGGAAGAGAGACAAGTAATGAAATTAAAAGTTTTGTATAACCGACTTCATAATTAATACGCATTATTAGGGATAACTCCCAAACTACTGGTTAGATCTTGATCAAATTTATATGGGATTTATAAAAAAGAATCATCAAAACCGGTTCACTTACGAAAAAGTTCTGAGGTAACATACATAAAAAATACAGTCGAATTGAGTACCTCCTCTTTTTTGAAGTCGGTTAAAATGGTAAGTGTGTAAATTATTTGATTTTCAAATACGTTCACTTTGTTTTAATCTTAATTTTTCTCGATCTTGCATATTAACCTTCTTTACATTGAACAATAATGCTCTCTCACTGTATTCTACTACCAAATAATATCAAAGGATTTAATTTGTTTTCTCACAACACCTAACCCTGCAGTAGGTGCGGCCTTAACAAAGGCGCGTAACGGGCTAAGTGATACAGGATTTCGCACGCGGACGTATGGTGATATATTTATTTAATACGCGCGCCGCATTAATTTTTTTTTTATTGACGATTTAATCTGATGGCTAATTTGACGAAGGTCGTGTCTGAGGCGTGCAAAGTATTATGAACAATAGCGACGTTGTAACTAGGTTTAACTTCGCAAGTTTGCTATCAGATAGTGATCCTTCTGTTCTTGTATTATTATTTATTTTGTGGTTAAACGTAAACCAAGCCATTCAGCGTATTGAGCGTTAAAATCACGATACATGCGATCTGTTGTAACACAAAGTCTGTAGTAATTTCGACGTGATTGATGAGTCGGTATCGGCATCATCGCTGTGGGACCTAGAGAGGCACCCATAAACGCGTAGGTCTTCGTTGTCTACACGTAGCCATAGGATGGACAGGTCCGTTACTGGGGGGAGGGGGAAGGGCTCCGGCCACATGCACTTACCAATTGAGGACACGGTATTTCCCCGGTTCGTGCTGGCCCATCCGTGCTACAGCCGAAGCTGCCGCGTGGCACCACTGTTGTTCCTAAAGCACGGTTTTGAAAAAACTTCTCGATACTAAAACCAATTTCTTAAAATTACCTTGCAGCATACATATCTGTATAACCTATGACGCATATTGTATGAGGGCGAGCGGCCTGTGTTAGTACTCGTAAATAAATCCGAAACAACACGATTGTTATTCTTGTAATTACGATATTATTTTTGATTAGTTAATTGTTTTATGTTTTTAATAGGTATAATTAATATTAAACGGTTACTTACCTATACGTAACAATATGGTAAGACACGTTCCAACAAAGAAAATTTTTCGGCTATCGACCGTGTAGAAATATGTGAATACAGCTAACAAAAATCTCGCGATTAAATCTGCAAATGCGCCCACCATCACACACGTCGCCACTTGCATCTGCACAAGACATTCTCTTAGTATGTATGATTGTATTTAAAATTTCCATGGTTTGAATGGAACTAAATAACTTTTACAGATTTTATCTTCATAATAATAATAATGACAATTAATTCTAATTCTATCTAAGACGTTTCGACTGTTTCGCAGCTCCCATTGACTCGAGGGGACAGAAATTTTAACACGTGGTTGAGTCATGCTGCAGCTATATCAGTGGTATAGTTGTAACACGAATGGGTCGGCTCGACTGGGCAAGGACCACGCTCTCACAGAATACCAGCATAAAATGGAAGCTTGACTCTGCTGTGTTTCGTATGGTGAGTGTAGGGAACCGGAGACCCATTTTACTGGAAAAGACTCATTCCATCTTAGTCCTCACGGGTGACGACGCATCTGTTCTGCATTTTGATTCTTTATTGAGGATAAATGTAGATGTCTATGGGTCACAGCAACCACTTACCATCAGGTGGGCTGTGTGCTCGTTTGTCACCCTACCTATCCTATAAAAAAATGTTTGATGTTCTGATATCAGAGTGATCCTTTACCCTCAGTTTTTAATTATTACTTTTGGAATCTACGCAGAATAAGCTTACTATATCTTAAGTAATATTGTAAGCTTGAGTTTGTATTTAATTTTATTAATTACAGGTTCTCCAGCAGAAGGTTATCACACACATCTTCTCTATTGAAATTAGGATGTATTTTTTATTTGAATAGTCTCGGGAATTATTCATGGTAGGAATCGGTGTTTCTTTGTGGTCTATGTAATGGCCAGAGTGGTCTTGAGTATAGTCACAGACTGTATTTACCAATTGAAGACATTAAATTAAGTAGGAATAAAGCTGACAATCGCAAAAATATTTTACCATTAATTTAAAATATAGATTAGCTTTTAATTTCTGACTCATGCAGGTTTCTTAACGATAGTTTCCTTCTAGCCGACAAAATTGGAGTGGTCGGGGATGAATCTCGGATTGTTAATTTTTGAGCTACCTAGATTAACACGGTCCAAATATATTTTAATTTCTATTGTATAATTACCTTAGAATATCCATACGAAAATAACAACATCGGTTCCATTGCCAGATATGTTACATCGGAGACAAATGCAAAACCCAAACCAACTAGCGTGCTAACAAATCGAGGATCCTTAAGTAAATCTAATTCAACATTATCGTAGATTATTTTCCTGAAACAAAAGTTTTTCAAACTATAGTGCATATAATTTTTTTATACAGCGTTATTTTTCAAAGAGTAGCCACATTTTAAACTTAAGTTCAAATGTATAAATATTGATATACCGTTATTGCAGTTTTTGAAAATACGAGTAAATAAGGCTTCTATTTCTATTTAAAATTATACCAAATTGAATGATTTATAGGTAACAACGTTTTTGCCTAACGATCGACCCTTACAAATGAGTGCGTGCGCAGTAAAATCAGTTAAAATAAGGCATTTAGAATTTAAAAGGTTAAAAGGACAGAATTTTCGAGATTGTTTTTAATTAATTTTTCTTCACCATTTGCCTTTATTACTTATTCTAAACCTTTTCTGCTAATTTGGGGGGTTATTTCAAAATAACCATGTATAGAACTAGCTGGTACCCGGCGCGTTGCTGTCGCAAAAGAAATAGTTGCGGAAGAGTTATATTGAATAATTAGGAATTTTAACAATTTATATTAAAATGAATGATATATAACTTTCAAATAAATTTGTCAGTACGATACGTGCGCTATTTACAGTAAGTTGATTGTACTATGCCTATAACCTCAGCGCAAGTGCAAGCCATAATTTGACAAAGTTTTACCGCAATCTGATGAACGGTACGGCAGCGCAAAAAATACGAACAAACAAGCAGTAGTTTTTAAATATTAAGAAGATATTATTTTCATTTAGGATGTTTATAATAAAGTAAATTAAAGATGTTTTTGTTTATGATTTAAAAATTAAAATCTATAAAGAGATCATGTAATGAAAATAACTGAGATGGTTATCAATAGAAAACAATGTTGCTAAATAAAAAAAAATATACTTACATTATACTTTTTTGAATCGATTCGTGTTTAGTTGGAGTCCTCATCTCTTTAATTTCCACAGCATTATCATCACCTGTCAACATTTTGACCACAGTCTCATCATATTTTTCTACTTTAATTTGTTTTTTGTTGATGTCGACAATTTTTACTGAGTCTGGAATTCAATAGTATCGCCGAAAGATGAAATGCTTAGAGACGAAATTATTAGACATAGTAAACACAATATGAAATTCCTCACCTGATTCAGAGCCTACTAATTTGATCATGTGCCATTCCACTGGATGCATAACCAACATGGCGAACAATAGATGGAGATCTACTGCCATAATTAGAGCTAGCGTCCACCGGAAGCCATACTCAGCTAGTAGGAATGTCACAAGCATAGGAAATGTAATAGAGGCAATACTGCTCATTGTTTGATTGGCGCTCATCATTGCCGTTCTTTTCTTTGTAAAATAGCAGTTGAAAGCTGTAAAACTAACGGGAATCATGACACCGAAGCCGGCTCCTAAAACACGAACCAAAATAAGAATACAAACGGTTAAATACCAAATTATTTAAGATGTTAAAATTAAAAAAAAAAATTAACAATAAAAATTAATATAATATATTTTTTTTTTAATAAAATACCTCTGATAACGCCAAAAGTAAAAACCAATTGATATGTTCTAGTTACGAAAATGGTCAGAACATCGCCCAATATAAATAGCCCAGCTCCGAGTAACCCGACCTGTCTGAAGGAGTACCGCTTCAAAGCTATTCCACTCAAGAAACCTAAAATACAGAGTTGGTCATAATTTCAAAAAAGAGTAAATGAACACAACGAAGGAGGAAAAGGATGGTTGGGAAATAAAAATTATATTTGAAATTTTATTCAAAGCAAAGAAGTGTTATTATTATATTTATTATTTCCTATTACCACTACAAATAAGCTTTAAAGTATTGTGCTAGGAGATGGTGCGCAAAAGTATTCAAATGGAAAATTCGAAAGCACGACTTAAAGTTCCAGAGTACATCCATTACAAAAGCGGTTAAAGTATCAACTGCACTTGTACGCTCACTCTGTAAATCTTACAAAAAGAGAGAGGAGAAGCCCGCCTGCTTTGCGTGGTAAATATAAACATATCTTCTAAGTAACACATGTCTATTAAGTCATTCTTAGAAAGATCTATGTCCAACAGTGGACTTTAAAAAGCATTTTGATGTCATACCGTGAGAACGTCATAATCAAATCACTAGAGCTATCACACATGTTTCACCTCGCAATGTGGTATAGTGGTTAAGTTAGTTACAGAGGAGAGCAATTATATTTACAGGCGATGAGGCATTCCATCTTATTCTTCAGAGATGACAACACATTTGTAACGTTCTTTGTTTGAAGTTGATTGGAATGAAGCCGAATTAAGGGAAAAGAGACGCGAATAAGATACCTTAAAGTATGCATGCGGGATGCACTGTACTTTTTAATAAATAGCAGCAAAACTTAATACAGCTGTCTTTAGTGTGTCAGTGTACAGAAATGTAGACCCTTTTTACTTGTATTGGGCATTATATCTTAGTTCTCAGGTGTGACAACGCATCTACATTTTGATTTTTAATTGACGATGTATGTAGGTGAATAAAATAGAAGATTTTTTAATGCAATATAATTCACATGTGTAATTCTTATAGAAAGTCATTTTTTACTGTAACACTGGTTTGGAAAAAAACCCTCTGTCCTGGGAAGAACCAGAAAGAAACCCAGCGGAACTTTTTTAAAGTGAATTTTACATTAATGGTTGTACAAATTATTTACAAAATTTATTTTAGAAACTGCTTGAAAGAGACCACCTCATTCCCAGGGGTTATTATCAGCCATGTATTCATTTATATTATAATAACCCTTTTTATACAGTTTCAACTTGACAAAACATTTGAACTTGGTAATAGAGAGAGCCTGTACATTTTCCGGGACCTTGTGGTAATAGTGTAAACAATGCCCCGAGAATGAATTACTGACTCTGTGGAGTCGAGAAACTGGTATCACTAGCTTGTGTTTGTTCCTAGTGATTACAGAATGTATATCACTTTTTTTACTAAAACTACCTTTGTTTTTGTGAACATACATTAAATTTTCGTAAAAATACTGAGAGGACAAAGTTAATATATTTATTTCTTTAAATTTATCTCTAAGAGACTCTCTCGGTTTTAGGTTGCAAATAGCTCTAATGACCCTCTTCTGTAAAACAGAAATAGTTTCTGAATCAGCGGCATTTCCCCGTAGCAAAATCCCATAAGACATTATGCTATAGAAATAACTGAAATAAACTAATCTAGCTGTCTCGACACTAGTGAGACCTCTAATTTTTTTTACAGTACATGCCGCAGAACTTAGTCTGCTTGCTAGTTTGGATATATGGGAGCCCCACTGAAGTTTTGCGTCTAGAGTGATGCCAAGAAAAACAGTGGATTCAACAGGGCTCAGTTTTTCCCCAATTAGAAACACTTTGGTAATATTCGGTGTTGTAAATTTAATAAATTTAGTTTTATATCCGTTTAAATGTAGATTATTAACGTTAAATCAATGCACTAGTTTTGATATAGCATTACTTACTTCGTCACATTTAAATGATTGTCATTTAAAAATCAAGGAAGTATCATCAGCAAATAATGCTATATCATGATTATCCCCTACAAGGGAAGGTAAGTCATTAATATACACTAGAAATAGGAATGGGCCGAGAATCGAGCCCTGACGGACAGCCTGTAGTACAGGTGAACCGGAAGAACTTTTACCATTGATAATAACTTTCTGATTTCTATTCCTTAAATATGAAATAATAAGTTTAAGCACTGTGTTTTTGACACCATAGTACTGTAGCTTCGTAATTAATGCCTCATGGTAAACACAGTCGAATTCCTTGGAAAGGTCACATAATATACATAAAGCATTCTCTGAATTCTCCCATGCACAAAAAATATGTTTAGTAAGCTCAACTCAAGTAAAACCGGACCGGCTTGTGTTATCAATGTCAACTCAAAGTGTAATAAAATTAAGTATAATTTCAAATTTTGAAAAAAAAGCGCGGGAAGTTTTGAAGTAGGCGGGCGTCCTTTTTTTGGCTAAACTTTTGAAAATTATATTAATTTGATATTACAGGATCAGTTAAGTTGTAACGTATATAAGTATATATATATGAGTAGTTATTGTTGATTATTTATAGTTTTAGTTTGTTTTCTTCGCCCGGTAAGTCATTTTATTGTGTTATATGTAAATAGGATTTTTCTCTTGGCGTCCATGTTGGAGCCCGAAGAACAGAATAAATAAGTACAGAGTTGCACTCTTTTGATGTTGACTGCTTGCCGACGTTTTAATAGCCTACATAGTTATTATTAATCAGATAAATCGCGCACGCAAGCTAAATAAAACTTTATCGCTGCGAGCGAGTGTTTGTATTACTTTGCATCTTTTCTCCTTACTACGTCACAACGGACTTTCCGTGGTTGCTAAGAGCTGTTAATAAAGAGTAAAAAAATACAAATTTTGAAATGGTAAGTTACTTAGGTAAACTACCTATGATTACTATAATCGACTATATTACATACTATGTGAGTTCTGTGATGCCCAACGCATGCAACTTGCAAGGCCATTCGTCAGGAATCGCGATGCTTGGTTCGTATAGGTAGATAGCGAAAACAACAAGTAAACCCGAAATACGATTCCTAACAGAAATATTATCGTAATCTACTTAGTTGAAAATCTTTTAAACAAAGTTTTAATTTCAGTATTTTGTGCTACTATAACTTAAAATATTTTAATTACAAAGACGAGTCATAAGTATGTAAGTAGGTACTTGGGTAGTCAAGTAAATTTCAACTAAGTTTTGTAATAAAGTACTTAGGTATTACTTCTGTAATTAAATTATTACTTAATTATTTTCTCGCTATAAGTACCTATCTAACAAAAAAATGAAATAAATTTACTTTTCGTTATCCTTCAGTAACTCAAAAATGTCCCCACAACAATTATAGTAGGAACGACGTTTTGCCATTATAATGTATCAAATAGATAGGTAATATACATATTATATATTATTCTTAAATTACATTAAAACTTTTTCAACTATTTTATCCAACAATTTAATATACTAAACACTAAACAAAAACTATTTCGACGAGTATTTCAACAAGTATTTACAAAAAATTATTTATGTAAACAGCGTTAAAAAAAACTTTAACATTCAATCGTATAGAGCGCGCTAGCCCCGACTGCGATCTACCCCTGGGGCAGCTCGCGGTTGTAGGTAATTATTTCACACAGGTAGCAAGAGTGACAGAGGCCTGCCCGAAGACCCTGGAGGGACATCCCTCCATTTGTATCATGTAGTCACAATCGATGCGTCTAGAATGGAAACGGAAGGTTCAGTTATAGATACAGACTGTTCGGAAAACACGAAATCGGTTAAAAGAAAGAGAATCTCAGCTAGAAACCAAAAGAAGAGAAGAAACCACAGAAATAGGGGTCTATTAGATTGCAAACTTTCCTCTAATGATTTAAAGGATAATGTTATTACTAAAGTACTTGAGCCAGATGATAAAAACACTGAATTCCATCATAATAGGGCTGCTCACTCTAACAATATTACAAGTAACCCTCGCGCTGCTAGGTCGCTTTACCAGGCGTCAGGCCCTGCGCCTCATGTTGTCCATGTTCAAAAAATCTTACAACCAAATCAAACCGGATCTATTCACCCAGTACAATTTGGATTTTTCCTTAAAAAAAGTTTAATAACAAGCATTGTAGAGGGAAGCATCAAAAAAATTGGAAGGAACAGGTTGTCTTTACAATTTGAAACATTTCAGGATGCTAACACATTTCTAAATCACAAATCTCTTGATGTTAATAAATACAAAGCATTTATTCCGGCCTTCACTATCACCCGCATGGGAATAGTGAGAGGTGTTCTATGTGACTGGGATGAGAAAGATATTATGGAAAATATTGAGCTTCCACAGAACTGTAGAAGGATTTTGAAAGTTCGGAGATTAAACAGAAAGGTATATGACAGCGAGGCGCCCAAGTTCATTCCAACTGAGATCGTAGTTTTAACCTTTTATAGGAAGGTGTTCCCTCCCAGGTTCTTTATATGTTTCAACTCCCTATCTGTAGAGCTTTATATTTACCCCACGCTGCAATGCTTTAATTGCTGCCGTTTTGGTCACACCAAAATGCAATGCAGAGGCTCTTAGAGGTGTTACAAATGTGGTGACAACCATTCAGGTATAAACTGCGAGATTGAAAGAGATGATGCTGTATGTATCTTATATTTTGGTTCCCATTTCGCAACAGACAAAAAGTGCCCGGAGTACGCTAGGCAAAAAGCTATAAAAGAAACAATGGCTAGAAACTTTATATCTTATTCAGAAGCCAGTAAAGTCCATCCACCAGTTTCGAAATCTTATGCTGACGTTGTCGCTTCTGCTTCATCGGCCCCTTCTGTTCCAACTATTAATTATTTCAGCCCCTATAATTTAATAAGCCCTTCTAAGAGTCCCACACACACACATAGACATATAGGAAAATTGTATTCTCGAAACCCAAAGCTCGTCCCAGAAATGCTAGTAAGGGATATGATCAAAAAGCGCATGCAGAGCTTATCCAAGATTACAGCAACATTCCTTCCTTTTCTACAGGTTGTCTCAAAAATTACAATGATCTGTCAGAAATAATAACAAAGGATCTCATCATTTCTATAATTCAGTACCTTTCACAATCTAACATAATTGTAATACCGCCCAACGATGCCGCTTCTTTAAAAAGTTTTTTTAACTCATGGACAGTCAGGACCATCCACGAAACCAGTCTCTGGTGATTCAATGGAAAAGCCGGAGTATTAATAGTAAAAAAGTGACCTAATTTTCTTATTGAATAGTTACAATTTGCAGTCTCTCTTTAAGAGACTTGCCTTCGTCCCGGATTCAATTTTAGAATTCCAGGACATATCTGTCATAGAGAAGCTTAAGTAAGAAGTATTTTAATCAGTTACACCTAACAAAAAATACAATATCACCTAAAATGTGTTATCTTCTAAAGTTACATAATATATTTTTTTAGGTTTTTTCAGGAACAACGTGATACATGATTTTTTTTACACTTTTTCTTATTGAAAAGATTTTTTCTCGTAAAATATGTATGAAGAATATAGGTTACTTCTAGCTCTATGAAAACTATATTACTTGAAAAAATAATTCTCATAAAACTTTTCTATAGAATTTTAAAAACTAAGATAACCCATTTGAAACCTTTACACTCGTTTTCTGAAAAGTCAGGATTTTTTAGATAAAACAGTGTTGCAGCAAATTAACGAAATGTTGGTAGTACAGAAATTGCTCTAAAATTGGTGGGGTCTAATGTACTACCAGATTTAAATATAGATATGACTTTACTATGTTTCATTACATTAGGAAACACACCAGATTCGACGCATGTATTAAATATAGTGGCTAAATAAGGTGCTATTGTATCTATTATAGATAAAATAACTTTAACGGAAATCTCCCATAAGTCTGCCGTTTTATTAACATCAATAGTTTTTAAATATTTGACGATATCTTTGCATTTTGTTTTTTAAGCAATGATTCGGCGACAATGTAAGTGGTTAACTTACCATCAGGTGGAAGGTGTGCTCTTTTGTCACTGTCTATAAAAAAAATTAGTGAACTATGTAGATATTTATATTATGGACAATATTGACTTAACGTTTGAGCAACGACTTTATATTTCATAACCTCCTTTAGCTTTTTCATTAGAAAAGTTTCTTGTCATTAAACGTTAGTAAAAGTTACGTAAATCCAATACATCTTAAGGCAATACTAGTGGTCGTGTTTTGTAGAAAATAATACGATATGAGTTATAAATATAAAATTCCAGACGTGCCTTCCGCCATTGCAATATAGTATCTCGTTTACGGAAATAAGTGCTCAGTATTGTTTTCATCTCAATATCGGTCAAATCAATATCATTAAATGAGTGAGTGATGCAAACTGTTTAAGCTTAGGCCCTGAACGGCAATCGGTCTCTGTATCCAATAATATCTCTTTGTCAACCAATTTGTATTAAGCTATAAATTAATTATTAATTGGGGACAGTAACTGGAGCCTAGTTGCTTGAAACTTGAACCATAAGAAATTTTACATTTGACTCGCTGTGAAACATTAGAAGTTCGTATCTTTATTAGTGAAACAGTGACCTCACTGGAAACTGTTTGGCAATCACATTTGAACGTATCACACATGTGTGTGAATGTATGTGTTAACACGTTTTAAATTAGGGAGATGTTAACAGTGTTTTAATAACCGAAAGCATACATAGTGTTTACACATTATTGTATTTATTGATTAAAAATCTGCCGGCACTAACAAAATTGTCAATTGCACTTTGAAGTATTGATTTATTATGGTGCTCGGTAGTGAAAGGAAATATCGTGAGGGACCCTATTTAAAAAAAGTCTTTTAACACGTAGTTGGGTAAACGATCCTGTCAGGTATGTAAAGATTCCTGTGCTCAACAGTAGGACCTATATGGGTTGTAACTTTAATCAGTAACTGTAAAACAACATCTCACATTTTGTGATTTTTAACAGATGCCGATATCTATACAAATAAATAAAATTGAAGTGTCTGTTTGTATTGTCAAGATAACAGCATCTGCATCTTCAGCAGATATGCTGTCATATCTGCTGAAGATGCAGTTTCATGCGGGAATTGCAGGAATGTAAGTCAAACTAATATTGACATACATCCTATTCAAATTCTAGCGGTGGTGAAAAAAATCCAAAATAGCGAAAAGCAAGATGGCCGCCATACTAATTTTAAAGAGATATTATAACTCGGCAAATGTTAAGCAAGTCTGAGAAATAAAAAGAAATATTTCGAATTGTGAAGTTCACCTACACGACATTACCTTGCCTTAAAACCCTCTCAGAAATGAGAGAAGGCCTGTGCTTAGCAGTGGGACGTATATAGGGTAGGCTGCAACTTTTGAATTTAAAGGTTAGGGATTGTTAGGTGGTACTCGAACAAATTTTGTAAGCACTGACAAGGATTAACTGCTGACGATAAAAATTTAAGATGGTGGATCCAAGACGGTGATCAAAAACAACATTGACGCATTAAATAAAATAAACAGAATTAGAAACATATCCAGTGATAACTAAAAAATAAATAAATTAATATTAAAAACACATTTTTAAAACAAGTTTTTATTTAAATGCATTATAAAGAAGAAAATAAACTTTAAATTAAATCAATCCCATCAATTTATTACATTACACAATTTATATGATATTAAAAGCTTGTCGCGAGATTTAAAAAAAAACATTATTTTTTCCTAGAATTAGGTTTACTTACGTCAATATCAAGTTCCACATTGTATAGGTAAATCTCGCGACAAGCTTTTATATCATATGCCTAAATTTTGTAATGTAATAAATTCATGGGTTTAATTTAGTTTGAAGTTCATTTTCTTTTTAGAGCATTTAAATAAAAGCTTGTTTTAAAAAAATGTGTTTTTAGTTTTAATTTATTGTATTATAAGATATTTGTCTTTTATAAATTAATATGGAGATGATAGTGAAATAGGTACACAGCTTGGTTAATATAGAAACATAGAAATTTTATGAACTACGGTCGAATTTCTAGCGATTACTTTCAAAAAGTATTCGAAAACAGAAATATTAGTGTTTTAATAAATATGATAATGATTATATGAAATGATTTAATGATAGATATAGATTATAAAAATATATGAACATATTAAATTATGTATTTTTAATTTATTGCTTTTTAACGTGCTTAAGCACCAAGGAAGTATTCAAACTATAATACAAGCTGTTATCCGCTCGCTTCGTTTGGCGCACGATGATATTTTATTGCGGCACCTATTAATTTTTTGGATAGGTCTACATTTCGAAATGAGTTAACTATACAAAATTTCAAGTCAATCGGGTGTATAGTTTTAGGAATTTAATTATTTATATATATATACATACATAGATTAGTAAAATTTGTTTTACCTGCTATTGACAGAGCCCCATTATACACTCCAATAACTAAAGGAAGACCACTTGCGCCGCCCTGCTCGAGGAAGAAATTGTTGAATAGGATTCCGAAGGCGTTCGAGGAACCAAAACCTAGCATCTGCAATTGAAATTATTATTTTTACACTGAAACTTTAATGTAATAAATTGTTTATCATAATTTTTAACAATATCTAAAATGTCGAATAGATTAGCTTTTTTGTCACTTTTTGTCAAATAACTTTGTGACTACAGTACACTACACAAGAAAATAAACATAGGATAAACAAGGAAACATTCATGCATCATCAAAAACGAAAGAATCTTTTCATCTTATACCCGCAGACCTGTATATTCGTAATGAGTAGAATCAATTCTATCTTAAAAATGTATCGACAAGGTACTTCACCTACGCTCGAGATCATCGAAGTTCGTTACTGGCTGAGGCAGGTTTAGTGCTCCTCGCGTGCGGGATATCAACCCCCCAACGTTTTGAAGATGTTTTAAAACATTCTTTGAGAACCCGATTACATGAATAACCAAAGGAAATCCAATCAGGCCACCCCTACTTCGAAGGGGTGAGGTATACAAACAAATATGTACACACATGCACCGTCATCACATAACATTAGAATATACAGGGTTATTTTCAAAGAGTAGCCAAATTTTAAACTTGAGTTCAAATGCATATATAAAGATATACAGTTATAGAACTTTATGAAAATACGATTAAGTAAGGCTTCATTTTCTTTTTCTACTTTTATTTGAAATTATCCCAAACTGATTGTGATTAGAAAGGGTCGATCGGTAGGCAAAAACGTTGTTGTCCATACGTTTTTGCCTACCGATCGACCCTTACGAATGTGTGCGTTCGCAGTAAAATAAGTTAAAATAATACATTACCGCGCCTTTTGCATGTAAAAGATAAAAAGCACAGAATGTTTGAGATTTTTGAAATTATTTTTTTTTATAGGAGAGGGGGCAAACGAGCATGCGGCTCACCTGATGGTAAGTGATTACCGCCGCCCATGAACAGCTGTAACACCAGGGAGGGAATCGCAGATACGTTGCCGGCCTTTTAAAAAGGACTACGCTCTTTTCTTGAAGGTCCCTAAGTCGTATTGGTCCGGAAAAATCGCCGATGGTAATCGATTCCACAAGGAAGTCGTGCGAGGAAGAAAACATCTTCTAAATCGCGCAGTGGTGGACCGCCAATCATCCAGATGGTGTGGATGGTATCGAGAGTTCTGCCGCGATGTGCGTTCGTGAAATTTGGCGGCTGGGATTAATCCGAACAATTCCTCAGAGCACTCCCCGTGGTAGATGCGAAAGAAAATGCAAAGGGATGCAACATCTCTTCGCAGTGCCAATGAATCGAGCCGATCGGAAAGGACTCGGTCGTCGACGATTCGAGCCGCTCTGCGCTGGATGCGGTCAAGTGGAAGGAGCTGGCACTGGGGAGCCCCTGCCCAGAGATGGGAACAGTATTCCATGTGAGGCCGAACCTGCGCCTAAAGTTGCAGGCGGTGTGCCGGCATGAAATACTGTCCCGCTCTGCTGAGCACGCCAAGCTTTTTAGAGGCCAATTTGGCCTTCTCTTCCAAATGCCCACGAAACTGCACGTCACTCGATATGTCGACTCCGAGGATTACGATACCGGCTAAGGCAAGAAGGGGAGTGCCTTGAAACTGAGGAGATACGACAAAGGGGTTCTTTTTAGCGGTAAACGCGCAAACTTGTGTCTTCTGAGGATTAAACTGGACTAGATTTAGTCGCCCCCAATCTGAGACTTAGTTCAGCAAAGACTCGACTTCAGACACAAGTTTGTTCCGGTACTCGGCGACGTTTTCCCGAGAAATATTGGCACGGCCGGTGTATAGAGCATCACCAGTGCTGTCATCTGTATAGCAATGAATGTTACCAGTTAGCAACATATCATTGATATGCAGAAGAAACAGCGTTGGTGATAGCACACAGCCTTGTGGAACACCAGCGTTAATAGGCTTGTAGTCGGAGCATGAACCGTCTACAACGACCTTGATGCTCCGATCTGCAAGGGAGCTGGTGATTCAATCGCACAATTTCTCGGGAAACCCATAGGAAGTGAGTTTCTAAAGAAGCGCTTTGTGCCAAACCCGATCGAAGGCCTTCGCAATGTCCAAACTAACGGCCAACGCCTCCCCCTTGGAATCTCCATCTATGGCTCAGGTAGACCAGAAGATCACCAGCTGATGGACCCCGACGAAAACCAACTCAAGGTACCGCATGAACTGGCAGTTAATAATTGATTCCATTATTTTGGAGAACAAGGAGGTGATCGCGATAGGCCTATAGTTGGACGGGTCTGAGCGGTCGCCTTTTTTAGGGATCGGGTGGACAAAAGCTGTTTTTCATGAATTCGGGACTACGCCTTGGGAGTAGGAGTACCGGAAAAGACGCGTTAGGACCAGTGCCAACTGCGGAGCACATGTCCTCAGCACAATTGGGGGGATTCCGTCAGGCCCACTCGACTTCTGGATGTCCAGGGAGAGGAGTGCTTTGCGAACCGAGCGCTGTGAGAACAGCACATCCGGCATGGCACTCACACCACGGGATGGTCGGCGGTGTTTTCCCCCCGTCATCAAGAGTCGAGTTGGACTCAAAAAGGGAGCCTAAAAGGTCGGCTTTGTCTTTTGCGTCTTGGGCCAGTGAGTCGTCCTCCCTGTGCGGGGATGGTAGTGATGGCTTACAGAAATTCCCTTGGACAGCCTTGGCGAGAGACCAGAATGCACGGGTTCCCGAAGGAAGGCGAACTAGTTTCTCGCCAATTCTGCCCATGTGCTCTGACTTTGCCTTGGCAATAATTCTTTTGAAGGACCTGGAGGCGAAGTTATACTTCTTTTTAAGTGTGCTGGTGTTTGCATCCCGAGTCGCCGAAGCCGCAGCCCAGGCTTGATAACACTCCTGCTTACTGCGTAATGCAGTCTTACAGGAGCGACCAAACCAAGGCTGAGATCTGCCTCCGATGGGTACCACAGATGATGGAATAAATAGTTCCATTCCCTGTAGCACCTTATCAGTGACAGTGTCAGCAACAGCGCTGGAATCATCCGGCGAGAAGCGAACCCGCCCATGGGTAGGATGCAAAGAAAGACCGCATTCCGTCCCAATCCGCCGACCTGTAATGCCTGCCTGCAGAACGCAACCGCGAGGGGAGCGTGAGTGGCACCACACTCCGGATCAGACAATGGTCCGAATAGCCAAGAGGGACATCGACGGAAACCTGATATCCGTCCGGATGAGAGGTCAGCAGAAGGTCCAACAGGGAAGGTGTATGATCCTCCACATCTGGAATCCGCGTAGGCGAAGTAACCAGTTGTGTCAGACCATAAGCCAAAGCAAAGTCATAAACAGATCTCCCCGCATGATCGGTTAAACGTGAACTGAGCCATTCGGCGTGGTGGGCGTTAAAATCGCCAAGGATCACGATCTCTGCGGATGGGACCTGTTGTAGCAAAGAATCTGTAGCCATTTGGACGTGGTCAATGAGTCGGTCTGTTTCGGCATTACCGCTATGGGACCTATAGAGGCACCCGTAGACGCGCGGATGGTCGTCGCTGTCTACGCGTAGCCATAAGATGGACAGGTCTGAACCTTCAAGACTGCCGAGGCGTCGAGAATAGATGTCCTCTCTGACATACACGCAAACTCCAGTCCGAGGCACAAAGGAGTGCTCCAATTTGTACCCCGGGTAGGAGAGATACGAAACATCAGCCGGAGAGGAAACCTGCGTCTCGGTCAGAAAGAGCAAGGCCGACTTCGCCGTCTCGAGATGGTAGTGGACGGTGTTTAGGTTCGAGTGAAGTCCCCTGATGTTGCAGAAATTCACGGATAGCGTGGCAGGGGTCGCCTTGGTCTTGCTGCTCAGTTTGCTCCGAGCAGTTATGTTTTTGAGCGGAATTTTGCCACCCCCCCCCCCCCCCTTCAGAATACGCGGGGCAGCCTGAGCACCCACGCTCAGGAGTGGAATAACATGGTCGTGGATGTTCAGCGAGGGATTCTCCAGGGGTGCTGGTACCATCTGGGGTAGTCTAACGTGTAATTCCCCTACCATGTTTATGGGAGGGGGGGGGGGGGAATTAGGCCTCCGGCCACCTGCACTCACCAGACGCAACGCAGAAGCAGAGCTTCTACTTCACGCCGGTATTCTGTGAGGTCGTGGTACCAACCCGGCTCGAGCCGGCCCATACGTGCAACAGCAAAAACTGCTGCGTGGCTCTACCACCGTTAGATTTAATTAATTTTTCTTCACAATTTGCCTGTACTTATTCTGATCCTTCTCTGCAAATTTGGCCGGTTGTTGCAAAATAACCCTGTATACTACGTCTGGTGTCGTAAGCAATCTCACGGAAGTCGCCCTATAGCCCTATACGAAATTTAACATACTCGTACGTGTCCGTCCCCCAATAGAATCTACCGGATCGAAATATAGTTGGAAAAAAAGAAATAGAATAATAAAAATCAGCCATTGGTTGTAATAAAATTATCATACTCGACTTATAAATGTCAATTAAAATTGCTACCACTCTCACTATTCAAAAAAATCGATCAACGAACTATAAAAATATCACCATAAACATTTACAAATTAGTGCAGACTAAAACAAAATTTTTGGAATTCAAACATGCTACTAATGCGATCTAACATCCTACAAAAGATGTTGATATACTCGTACATTGTTTAAATGTACGAGAATGTATTATTATACTTTCTCATCGTATCGCACCTGAGGTATATATACTAATAATAATGTTTATACATCCATCCTCAAAATTATCAATCAATATAATAATTTAGGTTGGAGGCTGAAGACACGAATATGTGCAAGTGTACTTGAAGCCGGACGAAGTCCTGTAATATGAATTATTAAATTAATTAATTTTGAGGATGGGTCTGGACTATCTTTAGTGCTCATACATTTCTTGTATATTCAAAAATGTACATATATATAGTAGGATTTTTAAAGGATGTTGAGTTTAAAGAAATATACATTAAGTAAAAATAATAAAGTTAAAAACGTGTTCAACATTTATTCGTAGGTAGGCAATTTTCTAGTCATCGAATAAATTCTCAAAAACGGGT